TGATCATCATAGTATATTTACAAGCATGTTCAATGTTTTGTTTCTCTCTCCGTGATTTATTTGGTTCGAATATGAACTTGGACGACTACTTAGTCTTTGCAAGTTGGATCACTTGTGGTTCTTGTTGTTAGATATATGTCGAATATGTGTACAATTTTGGTTACGTTGGTCTTGAGTTGTATTAGAGGTTAGGGAACTCTGTATCCTAGGGATCCATAAATATGAGGCAACTCCTGTTGTAACCAGATAGACGACTTTGTTGCTGGTTTGTGTGGCGGTGAGGCCGCGAGAGCGCCCGGATACCGGTGTAGCTGTTGTTTTATGGAAAGGAGCGCCCGTAGTCATGCTCCGAGGATGTAGGCACATCGCTGAACCTTGTTAAAAAACATCATGCCTCGGTGTCGTTCTCGTTTGCGTATTTTCTTCTATGGTGGTTATGCTTCCGCGTTCGTCGGTTAGTAGATCTCTTTTGGTCTAGATCTAACCGTGCACTCTAACACTTGTGTGAGCCCCTACTGGATGATGACGTGCGCTAGGTACGGCTGCTTGCAGCTTGTTGTAGGAGCAAGAATTTCATTTTTGATACGGTAGCTTCACTCAACTTCCAGATCATCCGGTTACGTTATTTTGACTTGGTCTTCACTATTTCACCCTACCAACTTGATAGTCGCTTTCATTTCAAACGTGATCAGGTCATCCAGTTCTTATATATAATTTCTTTAGGACCTGGTTGTTTTTGTTTATTTTTTCATTGGATCTTTGTGTTATCTTCTTGCTTTGAACCTTTACTACCTAAGTACTTACAATTGACACACTTGCCACACATTTTAGCCCTATTGATCATGTTTTCACTTGAATCGCCAAAATCACAATATGGCATAGTGTCCCATATTCCTTACACTCTTGAAAGAATCTGATAGTTCAGGACGAGGATGAATAGGCTGAACCTAAAAAATTTCTGTCGAACTCAAAATAGCCTATCTGTCAAACTGTAGAGGTCCCACAAATTTTCTTGAACCTCCACACTTGTCCAGAGGCTTGACATGTTACAACAAAAACAAAATCACCAAGAAAATTGTTCTGAGTTTAGTTGGCGAAGTACTAGGCTTACACTGACCTATATTGGGTAAAAGCTATTCCCTTCCACACCTGCAACTGAAACCTTGCCAACCACACGCAGCTCAAAGGCCACACACACACAGGTGACAGGTGCAGCTGTATGTTGGAGTATACCTGATTACGCAGGGAAACTATCTTACAGGGTGCACTGTGTCAAGGTCAGATTCTCTCTCATTATGATCATAGTATGTATGTGTGTGTGTGTGTATGTGTGTATATTCACAAGCGTGTTCAAAGTTTTGTTTCTCTTTCCGTGGATTAGTTCAAATTTGAAATTGGACTACCGCCTTTGCAAGTTGAATCACCTGTGGATTTTTGTGTGAGCCCCTACCGGATGATGACGTGCCCATTATTTCTGCCCTTGTGTAATTCTTTTGGGCATGAAACACCTGTCTCACTTCCAAAACTAGTACTAGTACCACAAAATAGAATATCCTTGATGATCACTAATTTCCTTGAGGGGCGAGATTGGACTCTCAAGGAATATACCATTACCTTGGCAGTTGTAGAAAACCTTCAAGGAAATACATATTTCTTAAGTGCTAAACCAAACTGCCATGTTATTTTAATCATAGATTTTCTTGAGTGCTAGTCTGAACCGCCAAGGCAATTGCACGTTTCCTTGAGTGCTAGTCTGAAACCGTCAAGGTAATTGCATGTGTTAAAAATGTAACTTCATATTTGTTTGCTTGGCGGCTAAACCCCCTAGAAAATAATTTGTAGCGACCAACCCTAAAGGTAATAGCTATTTTCCTTTCTATCTACCTTTGACAGTCTTTCCTTGAGTATTGGCCGCCAAGAATAATTTCGTTGGCAGATTTCATGGTTTCCTCCAGGATTTTTGACCCTCAAGGATATTCTGTTTTGTGATAGTATAAGTGATAGTATATGAGTAATGTCCAATCTACCAATCTAAACTTGTCGCTGAATTTAAAAAACATCCTCGAACTCAAATGATGGACAACTTACATCCCTTAACTTTCAAAAACCAGATAAAATACCCACCATAATCATTTCAAAGTGGTTTCCTAGGTTGTTTTACTAACATGGCAGTGGGCCCACATGTCAAATGATTTCTCTTTCTTCTATATTAAAAAATCATAACTTTTCTATGTTCAGTTGGATGAATACAAACTTTATATCAAAACTATAGAGATCAATGCGATCTACAACTTTGTACTTGATTTTTTTTTGAGATCTTTTGGAGGCTCAAATATTTGTTTTAAGGTATCGGATTTTGAATTTCAGATTTCATAATTTTTCAACCAACCTAGGATGTTGACATGGTCTACAACAAATTTGTAGTTCTTAATACGATCTACAACTTTTTTATTGACAACTTTTTTATCTAGGATCATTTAGAGGCTTATAAATTCATTTTTAAGTTTTTGGATTTTGAATTTTTTTTTGAAATTTTCAAATGACATGGGATGTTGACATGGTCTATAGCAAAATTATAGCTCTAAATACAATCTAAAACACTTTGTAGTTGAAAGCATTTCTATATGAGATCATTTAGAGACACAAATATTTATTTTAATTTCCTATATTTTAAAATTCAAATTTTCAAAAATTTTCAAATGACCTCGAACATTGACATGATCTATATCAAAGTTATAGATCCCATTGCGATCTTTAACTTTGTGGTTGAAAACCTTTTCATTTGAGATCGTTTAGAGGCCAAAATATTCGTTTTATTCTCTGATTATTAGATTTAAATTTATGAACTTTCAGCACCATATTCCATACACTCTTGAAAGGGTCTAATTAACAATGCCTAGAGAGGAGGTTAAATAGGCTGAACTTAAAAAATTCTTTCCAACTCAAAGTAGCAAATCAGTCAACCTGTAGCGGTTCTGCAAAATTTCTCGAAGCTCCACACTCTTTTAGAGGTTCCACATGTTAAGAAAATGAAATCACCAAGTAAATGGTTGTAAGAGTTGAGTTGGCAAAGTACTAGGCTTACCTATGCGGGGTAAGAGTTATTCCTTGCCACAACTACAACTAAAACCTTGCATAAGAGTAGATAGAACAACTAGAATACTAAAAGCCAACGCATAAGTGGTATTTAAAAATTAAAGCAAGCATAAAGTACAAGTGAAACAAGGATTTATATCAAGATTTGGCCACAACACCAAGGCATGCCTATGTCTTTATTTTTTAGGAGACCATAAAGGTCTTGAGTCTCATCCAACTCTATCCTCTTCTCAAGTGACCATAAAGATCAAGCTCAAACGTGTCACTAGAATGTTTAGTGATGCAAACCTTGTAGGAGCACACCACAAAACTTGGGTGCTTCAACGGGCACCGTCGAGCCATCTAGGATCAAAATCTAAGAGTAATGAACACAAATCCACCGAATTGACAAAGAAAAAGAGTGCTCAAAAGATGAATTTGAGCTTATCTAGCACTCTCCCTTATCTTCTCTCAATCTCACACCAAATCTATCAAAAAATCAACAAGGGTGCCCTTTGTCTTATGTCAGGTTGAAATAAATGAACATGGTGACCATTGGAGAATAAGGGGGGTGACTATAAATACTCCCCCACAAAAGAATCCAACCTATGCACTTGGTTAGCAGAACGCTCTCAAATTCAGAACCTCTGGAAATGTCCGGAGCCTCCATACTTGTTGCTAAGATTTGTATCCCCCTTAATAGGAAGGCAATCCTAAAATCAAAATCTCAAAATATAAAATGAATTATAAGCCTTTATTGTCCATGTTGTTTTTCTTTTCTTTTTGAGGGGTTGGGATACTTCAATATTGCTCCAAAGTGTCTAAAAGTTGTACACAATCTCATAGACATCATTAGTCCCTAAATTGCTTGTCATTATTACACCAAAGCCTACTAGGGACCTAAACGCGGTTTCAAATATCCCCATTGATGTTAATACAAACTTGAACGCCCTCAGACCATGCTCGTAATCACGTTCTTAAAAATGTATCTATAAGTTTTTCAAAAAATCCAGAATTTGACATATTTTAAAAAATCGTATAAAAATAACAAATTTCAAGCATGTGCTCCAAAAGACAATTTTGTCTTTCTGGTTTGGATGCATGCAATTTTTTTAAGTTTTATAGGAAAATTTATATATTAAATTTAAATTCTAACTTTTGCAAAATATATCTCCATAAATAGGCACTTTGGGTGCGCCAAGTTTTAGGCTGTTAAAAACCTCTGGGTATCCTATTTTGGGGTTTTCACGATTCCACAGAGAAGTCAGTTTCCACCTAATATTTTCCACTGTTTTGGATTGAGATGCAGTGGCGTATTACCATATTGGTACTCTGTAATTTGTTTTCTTACACTTCTCTTGATGAGTCGGCAGAGTTTTCACAGTTTTTAACCAAAAAAAAAAAAGAATAAAGATAAATAACGGGTAATGAAGTTACTGTTACTGTGAGTACCATTCTGAACATTTTGGACTTGCAGAACAAATGGCCTGTACATCTCAACAATTCGTGTTCTTTGGTGCAGAGTCATACCATTGTGAACTTTCGAAGCTTGGCGTTCGCATTGCAGTTTGTCAGTTTATGAGACATCCGTACAAGTTGCATTCCCCATCAGTTGCTGACTGCTATTTGAGTCGTCACATCCCAAAGATTGGCAGATTCATATCATATGGCTGAACGGATTGATAAATTAGCAAATTACTAAATGTAAAAGTATCTCAATTATCTACGGCCGTTCTATATATTTGCACGTGAACCTTCATCCCTGCATCAGACGTTCTTTATCAAATACTAGTCTGTACCGAGGAGCAAGCAAATTGTAGTGGAGGTAACACTCTTGTTATATTCAGTTGATGAAATGATTGAACTGAAAAGGTACATGAACTAATATAAAATATTTTCTCGTAGAAGCCACAACATCACAAACCATGGCGGCGGTCCTGGATGCGATGGTATCCTTTGTGATAGACACGCTGATAAAGATGCCAGCTGATGAAATGGCCATGTTGTATGGGGTTCCCGATGAGATGAACAAGCTGGAGGGAAAACTGCAGGACCTCAAGGCAGTGCTCGCTGACGCGGAGAGGAGACGCATAACAGAGAAGGCCGTGCAGCGGTGGGTGCTGATGCTGAAGGATGTTATGTACGAGGCAACTGACATCCTTGACATCTGTATTATTCAGGCTGAGGAGGGGCAGGAGTCCACCATGTGTGCAGAATCGAGGTGCTTCAATCCCATATCATTCTGCATGCGGAATCCTGTCTTCACCCATGACATTGGAACCCGCATCAAGGATCTCAACAAGAAGCTTGACAGCATCTGCGAAAGCGGTGCTAAGTTCAACTTCATTAGAATGGAGCAGAATAACCAGCAGGACAGGGGGATGCTTACTCATCCTGCCGGCAGTAAGACTTCGCCGGTGATTGAGCGATCGAGCTTGGTTGGGAAGAAAATCGAAGAGGATACAGTTGATCTGGTGAATATGCTGACAGGCGAATGGTGGAGCAATCATACAGATGATTACATTGTGGTTGCCATTTCTGGCCCTGGGGGCATCGGCAAAACCGCATTGGCCCAGAATATTTACAACCATCAAACCATCAAAAACAAATTCAGCATAAAGATGTGGTTGAGTATCACTCAGGCCTGCACTGAAACCGAACTTTTGAGGGAGGCCATCCATCATGCTGAAGGACGAGATTGCCATGATGATGGGAAGTCTCGGCTTGAGTCAACACTTGCAGACACAATCAGGGACAAGAAAACCTTTGTGGTACTAGATGATATGTGGACTGCAGCAAAGTGGAACGATGTGCTCAAGGCATCCTTCAGTTACGTTGCTCGTGGAAGCCGAGTCCTTGTCACAACGAGAGATGATCGAGTCGCCCGTTCGATGAAGGCTCAGTACCTCCACCATGTTAACTACTTGGGGCCTCAAGACGCGTGGACCTTGCTCAAAAAAGAGGTCAGAAACGTTTCTTATCTTTACTTTGAATCATCAAACAATACACTTTTTTCTGCAAATGTTTTGAATAGCAATGCTAATGTAACTTACATTGTCTGTTGACTGAATTTTCCTCAACATGTGTTTATTTAATAAATTAATACATCTACTAGTCTGTCAACCCGGGCTCAGAGCACGCTGCTCTTGCACTGTTAGAATCTTAGAAGAAGCAAAACGTTAATGCTTATTGCTTAGTACCTACATCTACCTAAAATTACTTATCATTGCCCTCTCACTTTGTTATTTTATCCAATACCCATATAGATACTTTGTTTTCTCTATCCGGTTGTGATAAAATAACAAAATTAATTTATATGCTTTCCATCTATATCATCGGTTTTTCCCCTCTGATGGCACCTCCATGTGCCTTCCATATGCACTTAGTTAAAACCTTAGCTTAAATTATGGCAGCTCCTATTGCAGCACTGACATATTATGTCATGAATTTATATTTTGACTTTAAAAAAAAAAAAATGAAATTGTTATATGCTTGTGTTTATTATAAATTTAACCAAAACTATCTTTTCTGTTTTTATTAAAAATAAGGATTTAGATCTAGACTCTACAATTAATTACTATAAGCACATAAACAGTCATTAAACCTGCACTACAGTGCTTTGAAGTGGGATTTGGAAGGAGGGAGCAATAGTGGTAACCTCAAGAGAACAATAATATTTAAGTATATAATACTGAATGTTTACTCAAAGAAATCTATAAAAGAGGAAGGTCCTGAATATTTTTATCTGCATTAACCTTCTGCACTATTTAAGGTGTCAGATTTCCTCTCTCAAAGAATTATATATACAATAGTATTTTTTATAAAAAATGAAGTGCTTACAATTATGCTAATATATCATAATGTCTTAATCAAAATGCATAAAATGATTCAAAGTAACAAAATGCATAAATAATTGTCATAGATATCAATATGATATTAGATCGGTTATTATTGTCATTAGTATATATGAGCCATGAAGAGAGATAATTTTCATGATTACTAAAACATATAAATATATATTTATTGCTCATGTATGCATGTATACTTGATCTATATGAAGGTACCATATGTATGTTTAATTTAAGTGATTAATAGTGATAAAAGTTTGTAATTTAGAGACATATATAGTTGTAATTTACAGTGACCTTAACTTTTTTTCATAATAGCACACATTGGCGATTTAGATGTATATTTGAGAGAATGTTTAGTTTATTTTAATAGTGGCAAAAGAGAATAGTATAGATGAAAATTTAAGGAGCTACTTATATTATCATCATAATGCCAGGATGGGTAATTTATTCACAAATTTAGTGCTTACTATATATATTATGTTTTATAATGACAGATGTGGATAATTTAGATGTAGTTTGAGGGCTTTACTTTATCTTATTTATAATAATGATAACTGCAGGTAATTCTAAGGAAACAGAATATCCAATAGCTATAGGTAAATGGTGATTAGAGCAAATCATTGATGGCTAGATTTTTTTTGATATTTGTAGGAATTTCTTGGACTTATCATTTTCTAGTATACCTTTTACGACAATTAATGTGGAGACTCGGGTAGAATGATATATTGTGTGCTTGGATGTACTGAGAATATAAACCAGTAAGAGCATCTTTAGCACACTCGTCATCGCATTCGCCGTAGCTTTTTTAGTTAAGAAATTGAGCCTTGAGCGCATTAGCCAATAGCTTCACCATCCCTGTTGGGACATTAGCGAGTCAGCGGTTTCTTTCATGTTGCTTTGCTTTTAAAATAAGTTCTATTATTTCACTATAAAAGGAAAACGATTATAGGGCCGAGATACAACACATTTTATTTCTAAAGACGGTATAAAAATATTAGTGTCATAAAAAATATGTAGCGTGCCGTGCTTGGGCCGCTGCCTAGGCACGTCAGGGCGGCCCCGCCTAGCCCAGCCCGCTAAATTGCCGCAGGCCCGGTGGAGGCCCATAGCTTATCAGGCTTCATCAGTCCAATCTATACCTGTCCATAGACTTACTCGGGCACTGTCCAAGTCCACTCTATGTTCGCTCTGACTCGTGGAGGCGTGGAGCGTCGCTGCCTCCCGCGTAACCTGTAGCCGCCCGCTACCTTCTACTTCTCTCCCCGCGGTTGGCCGCTACCTCTTTCCTCCCGACTCCCTTCTTCCCTACGCCAACACGACACCATCTTCTTCTCCGCGCTGCGCCCTTCTACCCTCACAGATCCACACCACCAGCTATGCCCTACAGCTAGATCCGGGGTGCCATGCCACCATGCATCGTAGGCGTGCCGCGCCACCGCCCCTTCGCTACCCGCGCCCCACCTGAGGGCGACGCCGACGCCTCCATTCTCCTCTCGTCGGGCTGCTGGGCTGGCATGACCCACTAAGATGCTCGAGCTTTTCAGGGCGACCCGAACTGAAAAATGGCCTGACCAGCCATGCTTTGGCCGTTGGCCAGGCCCGGTGCCCGGTTCGGCACGGCACGGTGGGCACACCGTGCCGTGCCTGGCCCAGTGCCAGCGGGCCGTGCCTGGCATGGGCCCGTGCCGGGCCGGGCTGCACGGCCCAAATGGCCATCTATACACAATGCCGCCTTCTCATCACCGTCGCCGCCCTGCACCCCACCTGAACGGCGATAGACTTCTCTGTTCTCTCTGCTTGGTGTGGAGGGTGAGAGCAGTGCAAGAAGGCAGCACCGGCCGAGTGTGCGGCCCGACGACCGAGCGTTGTTCGTGGTCGTGGATCCTTGAGTTCGTGAGTTCTCCCTTATGCCCGACCCCTATCTCCCACCCGGCCTCTCTATCCACTCTCATCCATTCTTGCTGTGGAACAAGTGGGTTCACTCACCTTTCCCTGAGTGCCCCCAACGGGCGACTCGGGGGCGACAACGTCGGTGCCCTAGGCCCCCCTCCCTTGGCCCCCCTTCGGCTGCCGTCGCCACCCTCCGGCGTGCGACGGCGGCGGCCCACGGTGGCCCCTAAAAAAGGGTGCGGCCATAGCCCTCCCTCCCCCCCCTCACTCCTCCACCACCCCTCCCCCTCATCTACGGCCACCAGGTTCATCTCCGGCGAGGAAACACGACCACTCGGGCGGATCCGGACCCCCTGGGGTTGGATTTGGCGCTTGCACCATCCATTTGTTCTGCATGGTGATGCAGCGCGTCCGGCCCTTCTTCCAGCATCCCTGGGTCTTCACGTGGCGGCCGGCCAGATCCAGGCCAGTGTTGGCGGCCTGCACCCCTATGGGGTCGATAGTGATTGCCTAGGGCCAGGGGCAGCAGCGGCCTGGCTGGACCGCACGCCTGCCCGCATTGGCCGGTCTGGCCCTGACGTGGACAGTGCCAGCCCACGGCGGCCAGTGCGCCAGGTGGACGGCGGATGCTGCGGATGCCAACCTCGCTCGTGGGGGGTGCTATGGTGCCAGGGACAGCCAGATCAGGCGGTCAGGGTGCTACGACGACCATGGCCTGGGTGCCCGCGGTGGCCACGTCTAGGCGGCCGGTCCTGGCCTGGGTGGGCCTTCCCAGCCAACCAGCGTCGGCCATTGCTGGTGTGCTGGACGGGCGGGGCCTGCTTGCTGGCTGCCTGCTAGCCGGCGCTGGAGCATCTGCCCCTGCCCCGGCAGGGCGGGACGACCCCAATCCGGCGAACAATTGTTACTTGGGTGAAAACTCTGCCCGGTGTCTTGCTTCGGGCCGACGGTGGTGGTACAGTCTGTGCCACTACCTTCTTGTAGGCGTCATTGAAGTTCCTGTTCGTCGCGCGGGTTGTTGGGGGCAGTCCTAGGACGAAAGTCCTTGTGCTCTTCTTTCAACGTTGTTGGCGTCTACGGATGTCATCCCCTTCCTGGAGGCTCCGTTGGAGCACTTCTACCGCCGTCCCGCCTCTCCCGCCGGAGTTGATCCTGGCTGTGCTATGCCTACATGTGCTTCAGCTCCTTCTTCGCTTTGGTCTGCCCAGCTCAGATGTATGGTGTTGCCGCTGTTGCATGGTTCTTCGCAGGATCTTCTTGGCGGATGCTTTGCCATCGTTGCTGCCTGGGCGGATACTTTGCCGCTGATGTCGCTCCACTCTTGCCAATACTTTGCCGCGTGGTCTCTGGCGGATGCTTTGCCACCGTGCTGCTTGGGTCCTTTGCAGCGGATACATTGCCACTGCCTCTCTTCTTTGACGGATGCTTTGCCGTCATTGCTGCTCGGGCGGATACCTTGCCTCCGCCGTCGCTTCGGGCACCCCCTTATGCCGGATGCTGAGGGCGTGATGCCCCCCCCTCCTGCGGATACTTTGCCGCCGTTGTCTCGTCGCTTCTTGGTGAATGCTTGGCCACCGCCGCTTTATTTCTCTTGCTGGCAGCCTTACGTTGATGTATTTTTTCCTTTGCAAGTTCAATCGGTTAGGTTTGTGGTGGAGGCCCTCTCCCTAACGTCTTTCTTTCTTTTATGTTGTCGTTTAGGTTCCTAACCACTTTCTCTATGGTTCTGTAGCCGGCACTATGGGTTCTCCTATAGCTGCGTTGTGTAAGCTATTCTTTCGGCTCATCTTCTTAATGAAAACGCGTGAAGTCGTGTTTAAAAAAAATTCACTCTCATCCCTACTGCCGAGCCACCACCCTAGTGCGGGGAGGCCTCAAATCGGGCAGGCGGCGCAGCGAATCGAACAACGGGCAACGGGCTCAGCAACAGCGCAACAGCAGATCTCCAGTGGGCGTCAGCCGGTGGGCCTGCATTTTTTTTTGGTTGTCTGTAGAGGCAGACAAGCACCATGTCCACCCACCACCGCCTCTGTTATTTCTGATTAGCAGAGCCTCTTAATCAGAGGCGAGTGAGCTGCCCAGGTCTGGCTGCTTTGCTTGTCTATGCAGATCTGTTTCTTTGTAGTGTTTTCTCCTCTTTCAAAAATTCAAAATGGTGACTGTATCAATCTTCTAAAATCACTTCTATTTTTTCTGTTGATATAATAAATAACAGACAACACATTTTGATGTTGAACTAAAATTCCTCAAAATCGACTGTTTTATATACTATTTGAACTTAAGAGTATCGGTTTAATTCTAAATAATGAAGGAAAAAGTGTACAATTCATGTTAATTTGAATACCAATATAATATAGATCAACAACTGTGGACAGTGAGATTTGTTAGTCTTCTAGAGTGTGCTCAAGTATGGAGAGTGAATTATATGTAGTGGATAGCCAAATCGAGATATACAGGACGGAATTCAATTTGGAGTGTCTGCGGGAGATGTTCTAACTCTACTAACGATTGTTTCATACGACCAGATGCCTAGATAGTATTTACAAATCTCATGTTGCCAATTGAATGTTGTTGACGTTGCTACAACATTTTCATAACTATAGTTTTTAGTTGCTTTCATAATTTTCTCATAAATTTGAATTTATGATTTTCAACTATATTTATCTGCCATTGGTCTTTAGTTCTACTCTAATATGCAAACTGATTTATTAGGCAATAGCTATAACTATTGATATTTGAACTAGTTCGAGATTTGAGGTGCACTTGAATGAATTATGAAACTAGTGCTGGGAAAGGAAAGCTTGTTCAGCATAAAAATGAGCAACGTGACAGGTTACATTTTAACTTTGTAATGTGTGGCGCTCCATCTTGTATTCTTGATTCAGTAACCACTGATTGGGCTACGTTGTGATATTAGTGGAAACTATGATTCATTGTTTTTTTTTTAAAAACATGGATAACTTAATATGGTGGTTTATATATGGAATATAGATCCAGGTTCACGTATCAACCTAACAATTTGACATTAAAAGGATATGTAGTTATTTAGTGGAAGGTGAGGACATAATAACAAGTAAAACGACCTACTTCGACTTTCTTTTGAAAAAAAAGAATGACTAAAGAATCGATACGCCTTCCATCCTAAAATATAAGGGATTTTAATATGTCCTAAATCGAACCATCCTAAGTTTTGACCAAGTTTGTAGAGAAGTGTAATAACATTTATGATATCGAGCTTCATTATATACATTATAAAATGTATTTTGCTAATTTATCTTTTTGATGTGGTAGATGTTAACGCTCTTATCTACGAAGTCTATCAAATTTAGGATAGTTCCATATATTTCAGGACAGGGGAGCAGCTGGAATTCTGCAACCATGTCTGAAACAGAAATACACAATCAAATATAATTCCATTCATTAATTTTAAATCTGCCTGCAGGTCATAGCAACCGAGAGAGATCAGCTTGAAATAGATACTCTGAAGGATATAGGATCGAACATCCTTGGCAGATGCGGTGGTTTACCTCTTGCTATCAAAGTGATAGGAGGATTATTGCGACAAAGGTCTATAAACATAGTTGAGTGGGAGAGGGTTTTAGAAAATCCTGCATGGTCTATTGATAGAATGCCCGAAGAGCTAAACCATGCACTATACCTGAGTTATGATGATCTACCTCCTCATTTGAAGCAATGCTTGATTTACTACTCACTTATCCCACAAAAAACAAACATTAGTCCTGATCAACTGATTCAAATGTGGATTAGTGAAGGATTGGTGAGCAGTAGACACTCAGATGACCTGGAACAGATAGGAAGAGATTACAACAAAGAGTTGATCATGAGGAACCTTATACAACCATGTGGAGTAATTCATGATGTTGTTCGCTCATTTTGCCAGTATATGGTTAGAGATGAAGCACTGGTGGCTCGTATGGGGGAAGGTGGTATTGGTAGCAGTCTTCTTTCACACAAGTTTCGTTTTCTGTCTGTTGGAGTGGAGTCAGGTTCAGATGAACGACTGGAGTGGAGCGTTCTACAAAATCAGAGTTCGTTGAGAACATTAATATCTTGTTGCCCTATCAGGTTTAAGCATAATGATTCTTTGAGTAGATTATCCAGACTACGCACAATACATTTAGAGAATGCAGATTTTATTCCATTATTAGCAGACCATCTGGGAGAACTGAAGCTCTTAAGGTACTTGACCATAGAAAGTACTCAAATATGTAGTCTACCAGATACAATTGGCCAATTGAAGTTTTTGCAGCATATTGGCCTTAGTGGTTGTGAGAAAATGGTACGACTTCCTAATGGCATTGTAAAGTTAAAGCAGCTGCGGTCTGTTTATCTCGGTGAAGCGGTAAATATTATACCAAAGAAATTTGGTGAGCTGACAAACTTGAGGAAAATACTGAACTTTCCAGCCAACATGGATGGTGGTGCAAATGGTTGGTGTACTTTGGAAGAGCTAGGTCCTCTTTCTCAGCTTAGGGATCTTTCACTGAAGGGGTTGGAGAATGTACATCCCAGCTCCTTAGCTGCAAAGGCCATGCTACGTAGCAAGAAGCACCTTGGCCGCTTGGCCTTGAAGTGCAGCAGTATAATAGAAGATGACGGCGGGTCAGTCAAAAGAGTTGTCACAGAGGAGGAGGAGCGGCACATTGAGGAGGTATTTGCTGAGCTTTGTCCTCCAGGTTGCATAAATCATTTGACCATTGATGGATATTTTGGGCGTCGACTTCCAGAATGGGTTATGTCAATGACAGGAGTGTCTCTGGAGAGGCTGCGGATTTTGGAACTGTCGAATCTTGCTCTTTGTACCCAGCTCCCCAATGGCTTGTGTCAGCTTCCCTGTTTAGAGATATTGATTGTTCTTCATGCTCCAGCCATCAAGCATGTTGGCCCAGAATTGATGCGCCACACCCACAAGCACAATAATAAGCGCCATTCCCGTGTGTCGGTATCATTCCCAAGTTTGAAAAAATTGATCTTCATCGAAATGGTTCGCTGGGAGGAGTGGGAGTGGGAGTGCGAGGAGCTGCTTGAAGCCATGCCAGTCTTGTTGGAACTCACACTCGACAATTGCAGATCACTGACACGACTTCCACCTGGACTTTCCTACCATGCAAGGGCGCTCAAGATGTTGAATCTGAGCGATGTTCATTGGCTTTCCTACCTGGAAAACCTTCCTTGTGTCGTTGAACTTAGCCTGAAGTGCTGCCACAGTCTAAAGAGAATCACCAACCTCCCAAGTTTGCAGAAGCTTGTCATCAGTTGCTGCTCGCGACTGTCTGTCTTAGAGGCTGTCCCAGCACTTAGATACCTTAATCTGCAGAGTTCCAGCATGAGAATACTCCCAAGATACCTGCGGGGTCTCAACCTCACCCGTTTGTACCTGTGCTGTGACCTACCGCTGCTCTGTTCAATGGCTTTGGGAAAATCCACCTACGACTGGAATAAGTTCTGCCATATCCGTCGTGTGGAGGCCTATACCCATAATGGTCCAAATGGAATTTTCACAGTCACGTATACAAGGGATCCTCGCTACCTGGAGACCAATATCAGCAGCGCCCTCTTCAATCTGCTGTGGTAATATATATATGTTACTTCTCTTTCAATATAAAATATATGGTTTTCCTTACTTTCGCTTGCTTATTTGTTCCGTGACTGTGAACGAGCTGCAATCAACAGCAGCCAGCAGCAGCCTGGTTTGGTCAATTTGAAATATTAATCCTTCTCATTTCACTGCGCAGACGGAGGTGGCTACGGACGCTTTGCAAGTGATGGAAGTGGAATCTTGGTTGACGATGGAATCAATATCATATATAGGAGCGTATCCGGCCCATCCTACGTTTAAATCCATTCGAAGATTATTAAAAGATACTGTGTATAAGGGGTTTCTATTTTGACCATGTTACCGAATGGTTCTCGCCGTCCTCAACTGCGTGACCGTTTGATACAGACTTGTAACAGTGCTACACCTCGTTGGACTCGGATCTCATAAACTGCATCTGTATGCCGTGGAGTGTGTTTAGTACAACTCCTCGAGAAATGATTCTGTTGCTGAAGGCTATACATAATACTGTATGATAAACTTGTATAAATTGAGCTTTGTTACAGTGGTTTGGAAAAGTACTTGTAGAAAATTTTGAAGTCCTTAGATGATGATGATCTGTACAAGCGTTGTTGACATCAAAATTGAAGGTGCTACAAATGACTTTACCATATACTTTGATGTCAACAACTGATATTCTTGAGTTCGTTATGACTGCGGATTGCTATCTAATGTTTTAGTTGCCTATTGAATCCTTTTGACTATACCTGTGACCATAGCCTCAGCTGAAGAAATTTCTTCAAATTTGAAAAAACTATTTAAGGTCAACTATGTCACAAGAAAGATCGAATCACCTGGCTATGTGCTACATTGAAAAGAATGTCTTGGACACTATTGATCTCAACACCATCCTTGATGATTTTATTTGGAAGTTTAAGGTAATCATATTAGTGACTTTTTATTGTTCTTCTAGTCATTGTATCTTGATATTGTCATTGCTCATCGATCACTATTAATAATAGACATCTCAAACTAAGAATGTATCGTGATAGTGTCATTGTTCATCAATTGACTCCTATGCTTTGCAGGTAAATTACACACACATATATATGTTATATATACCTATATAAAATTGCACATTAGCATATATACAATTATACATATATATAGCCAAAGGGCCCCCTGTCAAGTTCGCTCGAGGGCCCTTCAAGGCGTAGAACCAGCCCTGCTCAAGAGTATTGTGGTAATTTCCATAGCATATATGTTTCTAATAAGCTCTCGCGTGAGTGGTGGTTCGTCGTTCTGTTCTGCTGGAGCCCGTACCAAAGGAGGTGCCTACTACGTCCATCGACTGTCTGGTTGACTAATCCGAAGGACACCATACGACTACGACCGGGAACACGGGCATTGGAGCGAATGTAGTCGTAGGCTCGTAGCACAGGTACACGTCGAGCATGAGCGGTGCCCTCGTGGACTGCAGGAACCGGCCTGACGGGTTGAAGAAGGCATGGAATGCCGAGAATGACATCATATATATCGCATGACTGCTCAAAACAGAGTTTACCAAAACTAGTCGGTCGTCATAAGAAAAAAGTATTCCTTTCTAGCTGCTCAGCATCTTTTTCTTTGGAAAAGATCCTCACTGGCTTTCCAATCCTTATTGTTATTGAGTTTTGTATGGTTTATTGTAATGCCAAAATATATAAATGGAAATTGGCCCACAACACATCCAAAGATCTCTGAATACTGGTCCATGAAGTTTTTAGCCTCTCTCCATAGCAAAATAACTTACTTTTGTGGAAGTTAACCTTTCTTTAATCCTAAAAGCTGTGCATTAGCGCAAAAATATTTTTCTTGCTCTTCGCTTGTTTGATACCATGCTCCATATATATAGAAGGAACGTTGCTACTACTTCATTGATCGGTTTGACAACTGGTGGTAGTGAGATGGCTGTGATACAATTGTTATATATATACAGTTCTTGGCCGTAACAGATAACTAAATTGTACAGCACTCTGTTACTCTGAGGAACAAGACGACCGTTGGAGATGTCCATTCTATTAAGGGCCCGTTCGTTTTGGCTTAATCCTTGCTGGAACTGTTCCTCCTACTGCTCTGTATAAAATACAACTGTGTTCCTGACCGGATTAATTTATGGGCTCTATTCCAAGCTATCCAAACGTGCCCTAAGGGATAACATCCTGGCGGGGCCTGTAGCCCACGCCACAAACCCCTGCCTTCGCCGTATAGTGCAAGGCCTCTCGCCCAAAAACATTTATTTGCAGCATTAAATTTTCCCTCCTTTATTTACTCATTTTTGCAGTGCGACGCTTCTTCAAGTGTTTTATCTGGATGTTACAAAAATAGATATGGATATTGCATATGTTGCTATGGCTATACACGCATATGTTCAAAAGCATGTTACAAGTGTTTCATCTATTTTCAGACGTACGTTGCAAGTGTTATATTTGGATGTTGCAAATGGCTATGTTAGAAGTGTATGTTCCGATTTAATGTTTTGGAAATTTGCGTAGAACGAGCCTTAATTAGCTGCATTCCGTCACAATTATTAAATTCTGATCTGTAGCACTAAAACTGAACGTACACGTGTAACTAAGTCGTGTTGCTGAAATGGAAATCTGGAATCAACAGGTGCCTCAAGCACTCTCAGTCGGACACTGTTTAAATGAACAGTGTCTTCCAATCAGAACAATATTTTTCTCTCGCACCAAATCAGTCAGCAGCACCGAACAGGCCGTAGCGGGACGTCAAAGCTACATTTGCAGGAACAACGGCCTAGAAGAGCATATATAGGATGGATGATGGATCCTGATGAGTACAATGTCGTAGCATGCACCACACAAATATAACGCTGACACTGAACCACAAAATACTACTGCTACACCTGGCTAACCATCTCCATTACTAGTTCCTAACCTCCAACGACTACGACAGGTGTACTAATGGCTTGTTTGGTTTCCAGCCACAATTTGCCATGACTAATGTTAGGCACCAGCCACATGTGTGGCTTGCCATAATCTGTGGCAAAAACAAGGTGTTTGGTTAGTGACTAAGGTTTGGCAAATAAAGTGTGGTTGCTGTTTGGATTTCAGCCACAAAAATTTGGAAAATTGTTGTGGCATATGTTTGGTTTGCTGCCACATATACCTCAAGCCACATATATTACCAGTTTGCCAACCTTTACACAAAATCAGTAACCAGGAAAAACAATCAACAACCGGCTGTTTATTCTTCACGAGCAAAATAAGAACACACCATCTTCTAGCCATCATTCATTACCAGACAACTACAAGTTCCTGAACATATTTACAAAACAGCCACGTTCAAGCTATAGGCAGGTTTAAAGGTCTAGATTACAATATTAATTACAAAAGTAGCAAGCAGCTAGGCATGGATTAGTACTACACTGCCAAAATAGGCACACATCGAACCAAACAGCCTAGTTCATGTACATCCTAAGCCATCAGGGTCATCACCACATCCAAAATAAGCTTGCATATATATCCTAAGCCATCAGTCATCACCACAACCAAAATAAGAACCCAACCAAGTTTCTGGGCTCACCACAAGCTAAGCTTCACAGGTTAAAGCCTTCTCTGTCACATAAGAACTTGAACACCCAAGCATTCAGAGTATCGGCGCTTGCATTACATAACCAGCCACGCTTACCTTTATTCTCCTTGGTAGACAAATGTTCACCAATAAGAACCCTCTGATCTGGTGTCATTGGGATTGCCTCTAGTTTTTGCCATAATAGTGCATGAGTATCAGTAAGCTGTGGCATTTGCGGAGGGGCAGTGGCAGCAAGTGTTTCCCGAAGTGACTTCATTGTAGCAGTTATTTCATCAGTGGAACCTGCAAAATGGCTCTTGTTTCTTGGTTTCTTAGTTGGTGACTTATTGGCTCTTGGATGCTTCCTCCTAGCTTCACTAGTGCTGGAAGATGTGTTATCAAATGTAGCATGTCTGGTTGGAGTTGGCAAAGTGTCTGAATCATCACCTTCTAGATCTTCAGGCTGTGTGTAGCAATTGAGGTCAATTAGTTCTCTTGATTCATCACTATCTGAGCCATCATCAGCATCCATGCATGTGTTCTGGTCCATAGCCAAAGATCCATCAGCATTGGATCCTATGAATAGTTCTCTCATCTCATAGTAGAACTTGATGGGCTTAGCAAGCAGGCGTCTTGCTCTGTCCTGCAATCATGTGAACAACGAAATTGATTTCATATACTGCGAACAAGTGAATTGGTTTTAGATTCTAAAATAGAATAAATAATAATTAAATTTAGTGCAAGCAACTTACAGATAATTCTGCTTTCTCAGATTCTGAAACAATCACCATGCATCTGGTTTCATCAAATGTGTTGCCACTATTCCTCAGAGCTGTTGCAATGTACTTCCAATTTTCTTTGTGGTACCTATAGTGACGGTTCACTTGATCAACGGTCACCCCCATAGCAAACTTCTTGTTTAACTCATTGGCACACAGCAGGAGATGTGATTTCTTGAACTTAAATCCTGTATGTTGTTTTTCAAATACTCAATGCACCACTCTAGCATGTACTTTGACTGATCCTCATGCCAATTCAAGGACCTCTCATAGGAGGGTGCAACAACATCAACCTTAGCCTTTCCCTTGGCCATGGCTGTTTTCCATACAAGAGATATTTAATTAAAATCATAATTAAATTTGCAAGGAAAGGTACATAATAGAGATCACAGAGACTCAAATAAATTGGGATGACAGAACAACAACCAACCTATACCAGGTACATGTAGGTACAAAGCATCGCATTATATATGTTCCATACATAGAAAAGAAAGCATCACACTTGAATATATGTTCGATACACAGAGGTAAATCAACAAGAATTAATTTGCAAAGATAGTAGCACATAATTTCTTGAACCTAATCTAGAGCAGCTCCTACTTTATCTTCCCACATCCTTTGAGCCATGTCATCTCTTTTTCTAGCCCATGCCACATTTTCCTGGTGCATATCACTACGATTTCTAAT